AAAAAAAAAAAAAAAAAAAAAAAATGGGGCTGTGGGAGTCCCCTGGTGGTCCAGTGGTTAAGACTCCGCGCTTCCACTGCAAGGGGCGTAAGTTTGATCCCTGGTCAGGGAACTAAGATCCCGCATGCTGCACGGTGTGGCCCCCCCCAAAAAATGGGGCTGGACTCAAGGGACACCATTGTCAGTACTGGGAGGTGGCCCACATTTACGTGGGACCTGACTCACGTGGACCCCCTCCCCCTCTCCCAGCTCCCCCGTGGAGTCGGTCCTTTTCTACGCCATCACCACGCTGCACAACCTGCTGCTCTACCAGGAGGGCGCCAAGATGGCGGTGCGCCTGGCAGATGGGCTGCAGAAGATGGTGCCTCTGCTCAACAAGAACAACCCCAAGTTCCTGGCCATCACCACCGACTGCCTGCAGCTCCTGGCCTACGGCAACCAGGAGAGCAAGGTGGGCCGCACCCCGCCCCCAACCAAGACCTGCAGCCCCCCTGGCATCACCCTCCGTCCAGCGGCAGCTTCAGGACACTGCGTTCTTACCCTGTTTAGGTTAAATATATATGTATATGCAGATGTACATGTTTCACCATATTACTGGATATTTTGAGGACAAGGGAAAGAAAGAATTCATTATCCTCATACAACCATGTGCTTCTCCAGTGCTTTCCTGTGGGCATATTTGTACACAGTTGTACTTATAGCAATTTACAACTTTGCATCTGTTTTCTGCATGATATTAAATTTTTTTTTTTTTTGCTAGACTGTCCTCAAAACCACCCTCTATAACAGCAAATAGCATTTCACTTAAGTGGAGGCCCCAGAGTTTATTCTGAGGGAGGGCATCTAGGTTGCTCCCGATTTTCCACCTTGATGAACGAACGATGCTCTAATGAACATATTCAAGTACACAGCCTTTCCCAGAGAGTAGGAAAAGTTTTTCATCAGTGGGGCTGAGGATTTTTAATATCTCTAAGCTTTTACGCAGAATTCCAGGTACTTTCCAAAAGGATTGCATTATTTGCAATGCCATCAGTGGCAATGTATGTTAGTAGTTTCACCTCATCCTTTCCAGCATTGTGTATTACCTTTTTTTTTTTTTTTAATGTTTTGGCTTATTTAATAGTCACAAAAGCTATTCAGGTTTTAGATGAGGCACAGTAATAACAGCTCTGTCACCCCCCCTTCCTTCTTTGTTCCCTGTCATAGTCACTATCTGTCTCACACTCATTTCCCCCCTCCCTCCACAGCTCATCATCCTGGCCAATGGAGGACCCCAGGCTCTCGTGCACATCATGCGCAACTACAGTTATGAGAAGCTGCTCTGGACCACCAGCCGTGTGCTCAAGGTGCTGTCCGTGTGTCCCAGCAATAAGCCCGCTATTGTGGAGGCTGGTGAGTACTGTGGCCGGTGAGGGTGGCCCATGTGGCCGGGCAGGCGGGGTTGGGGGATCTGACCAGTGACCAGGCTCAGTCAGCGGTGCTCCCCTGTGGCTGATGTGCCCCCATCTCCCACCCCAGGTGGGATGCAGGCCCTGGGCAAACACCTGACGAGCAACAGCCCCCGCCTCGTGCAGAACTGCCTCTGGACCCTGCGCAACCTCTCGGACGTGGCCACCAAGCAGGTGAGGGAGGTCATGGAGCCTGGGCCTGCCTCTTCAGCCACCTCGTCCTTCCGTCTTACAATGTCCGACCTCCTGTCTGGGAGTCTGACCTTAGGAGCTGGGGGAGGACTGAGGCCTCTGTATCTTGCTCCACTGTGGCTGGGGATGGAAGTGCCCTGTAACCCCTCATCCCTTTAGGCTCAAGGCTCTAATCCCTGTTAGGGATTCAGAAAGGGGACTAGATGAAGGAGGCTGATGTTTCTTGGCTGGGGTTCAGGTGGTGTCAGAGGAACAGTTCTGACCTAGACCCTGGGCGGGGGGAGCAGTAGTGTGCAGGAGATGGCTTGGGGGTCTCTGGTGCCTAAAAACAGCTTAAGGAAAAAGGCAGTTTCAGGACAAGTCTTCTGGTCCTTCCTTTCAACCTGACTGTCATTGCTAAGAATTGCATCAATCAGCTGCTTGTTGAGTACCTGCCATGTGCTGGGCTCCACTAGGCACTGGGGACATTGGCTCCTTTACCCATTTCAGTACTTGGAGGTAGAGTGTGGGGCCTAGATGAAGAAACAGAGGCTCAGGTGGTACAGTACACAGTGGAATATTACTTAGCCATTAAAAAGAATGAAATAATGCCACTGGCAGCAACACAGATGGGCCTGGAGATTATCATACTAAGTGAAGTAAGTCATTCAGAGAAAGACAAATATCATACAATATCGCTTATATGTGGAAGCTAAAAAAAATGATACAAATGAACTTACTTATAAAACAGAAACAGACTCACAGACTTAAAGAACAAACTTATGGTTACCGGGGGGAAGGGTGGGGGGAAGGGACAAACTGGGAATTTGGTATTAACATGTACACACTGCTATATTTAAAATAGATAATCAACAGGGCCTACTGTATAGCACAGGGAACTCTACTCAGTACTCTGTAGTAACCTAAATGGGAAAAGAATCTGAAAAAGAATGGATACATGTACATGTGTAACTGGCTTTGCTGTACATCTGAAACTAACACAACACTGTTAATCAAGTATACTCCAATATAAAATAAAAAATATAAAGAAAAAGAAAGTTTTCACAGAAAAATAGAAGAAAAAAAAAAAAACAGAGGCTCAGGGAGTTAAGGAACGGCCCTTGGTCACAGCTAGCAGACAGCAGAGCTGGGATTTGAACTCAGGACTGTCTGTCCCCAGATCCTGGGGTCTTCCTGTTCCATCACAGGGCCCACATGGCTCCCCTTGGGAGAATGAGGCTCCTGGGTTAGGGATGTTTCCTGAAAGCAGATTTGGCCTGGGGACCACTGAATGGGGAGCAGCTAAGGCCCAGAGAGGGGAGAAGCGTGTAAAAGTGGGTCAGCTGGGCCATGGAAGCATGGACCTCCTCAACAATTTCCTTCTGGCCTAGGGGCCTCCCTCGGCCTGAGTAGAGCTCTGTTGGGTCTGAGGACAAGAGGGGGTGGAAGGAAAGAGCATGGAGCGTACAGACAGGCCTGAGTTCAGATCCGGCTCACTAGCTGTGGGTCTGTGGGCAAGGCCCTCAACCTCTCTGGGCCTCAGCTGCCCCACGACTACCTTCTCACGGGTGTTGGCAGGATCACGGGGATGAACACACACAGGCAGGGCCCATCGAGTGTGAGCTGAGTGGGCTGGAGACCTCTGTAGGCCATGTGTTCTCCCGGGTACACTTGGGAAGACCCTGCGTCTGGGAATCTCCCTCACTCTGCACTGCCTCCCCCGACCCCAGGAGGGCCTGGAGAGTGTGCTGAAGGTTCTGGTGAACCAGCTGAGCGTGGACGACGTCAATGTCCTCACCTGTGCCACGGGCACCCTGTCCAACCTGACCTGCAACAACAGCAAGAACAAGACGCTGGTGACGCAGAACAGCGGCGTGGAGGCGCTCATCCACGCCATCTTGTGCGCCGGGGACAAGGATGACATCACAGAGCCCGCCGTCTGTGCCCTGCGCCACCTCACCAGCCGCCACCCCGAGGCCGAGATGGCTCAGAACTCCGTGCGCCTCAACTACGGCATCCCGGCCATCGTCAAGCTGCTCAGCCAACCCAACCAGTGGCCGCTGGTCAAGGTACCGCCCACTGCACGGTGGGGTCCAGCGAGGGGAGGAGCTCTGAAGACAAGATTAGGCGCTGTATGGGTTCAGGCAAAGCTGCGGTAACAAAGAGGCCTAAAATACAGTGGCTCCGATAAGACAAAAGTTTACTCCTCTCTCGTGTTCTGGTTTAGACCTCCACAGTGGCTCTGCTCCTGAGACCCAGACTCCTTCTATCTCGTAGCTCAGCCATCTCCTAGAATAGAGCTTCAAAGTTTAACATGCACAGGAACACCCTGGGCGGGCTCATTCAGCTGCAGGCTCTGATTCGGTGGGCCTGGGGTGGGCCTGAGAGTCTGCATTTCTAACAAGCCCCCAGGTGATACTGGTGGTCCATGGAGCACATTCCTTATGCCAGCGGGTCTGGTCGTGAGGGTGGGTTGTCCTCGCATGAACAGGTGGACTATATCCTCCCCACAGGTGCCTTTTAGCCCTGGACAAGTAGGGAGGGCTAGCAGCGACCAGAAAGTGGGACACGTCACTTCAACCCATGCTCTGGAACTTGGTCATTTGGCCACATCTGGATGCAAGGGTGTTAGCACCGTGTTATGTGTCCTGCTCAAACGCAGGAGGGTTGCGAAAAAGACAAAGGGTAGAGAGGATTCTGGGGACGCTTAGTGTCTGCTGCTGGGAGCCAGGGTGGAGCCTTCTTCTCAGGAGGCTGCCTGGGTAGAGGAGAGATGTGTATCAGTTCCCTGTCACAGGCAGGGGAGGTGAGGGTGAGCCAGGGCAGAGCTACCGGTGTGTGTGGCACCTGGTGCCAGAGAGTGAGGGAAGCTGCCGTAGACTGGGGTCTTGTCAAAGGGCGCAGGAGCCAGCTGGCAGGGGCTCCTATTGCCCAAATTTTCAACAATAGAACAGTCCAGATAAGAATGACTCTTAAGTGATTATATATGTTGTATTTTAAAGAAAGGGCAGCACGCGGTCCCCCCCTCCTTGGTCTTGGTCTGCAGCACGAGCTCGAGGTGGGCGGAGGGTTTGCACCCTGACCCAGCAGCTAAGTTGACAAGTGATCTTGGCAGGTCATCCACCCTGTCCTCATCTCCCCCATGATTTTCATCCCTGCCCTCCTGGTTTCTTGTTTTGAGGATCAAATAAGTTGATAAATTGCTCCCCAAGGAGCCCTGAGAGGCCAGAATGGCTCCTGGGAGTTGGAGGACCCTGGGGCAGAGACCTCTTCCCAAAGCCGCCTGCTGGGGATTGATTACAGTGTGAGCGTCGCCAAAGCAGGAGGCTTCGGGGTCACCCCTAGTGAGGACCCCCTCTCCCTGATAATCAGGGTTTGGGAACTGTCAGAAAAGCAAGACTATATTGTCTGTGAGTGGGAGGTAAGAGAGAGGGGACGGGGGCAGTGTCAGGGCCTAGGAGCTGATGGAATATTCTGGAATGGGGTATCCTTTTAGCAGGGGCTCTAAGAGTTAGACATGAGGACCCACAGATTGTATGGAATAAGGGGCATGGGCTGGGGGTGATCTCATTCTCTGGAGATCTTCCAGCATGTCTGTGGCTGGCCTGGGGGACAGAAGAGATGAGAGGGGAAGGAGGACATGATGCTGGAGAAGTGATGCCCAGGAAATGCCCTTGATGAGTGTCCCGTTCCTTGCCAGGCAACCATCGGCCTGATCAGGAATCTGGCCCTGTGCCCAGCCAACCATGCCCCACTGCAGGAGGCAGCGGTCATTCCCCGCCTCGTCCAGCTGCTGGTCAAGGCCCACCAGGATGCCCAGCGCCACATGGCTGCAGGCACACAGCAGCCCTACACGGTAAGTGAGCTGCAGGGACCTGTGACCCTCTACCCGGGGAGTCAGAGTGTCCTCTGTGTGAACGTGTGCGCATGCGAGTGTGTAAATAGGGAGGCGAGTTGCAATTGATGCCAACTCCAAGGACCAGTGAGGTTTGCCAGTGTCCTGGGGGTGTGTGACCACTCCCAAGGGCTACCTGTTGCTATGCCCCAATGGCTCCTCTTATACAGGATGGCGTGAGGATGGAGGAGATCGTGGAAGGCTGCACTGGAGCCCTGCACATCCTCGCCCGGGATCCCATGAACCGCATGGAGATCTTCCGACTCAACACCATCCCCCTGTTTGTGCAGGTGAGTCTGGGGCAGGTGGGCAGGAGAGGTTCCCCCAACCCCTGCTTCTGCCCACTGCTGAAAGGGGAAGGTTGACAGCCATGGGTTTGAGGGGGTCTGGGCCAGGCATCAAGAGGTCTTTAGAGGAATTTGGAGAAAAGTGGCCGCACCAGGAGTGACCACTTAGCAAACGCCAGCAAACGAAAACAAAAACTATGTTTTAATGTCCGAAAAAACCCAAAAGCATTGAAAAGTAAACAGCAAACTGAGAAAATATTTGCAAGCATCACAGCAGGTAAGAGTTTAATATCTTTCATATAAAAAGAGCTCGTTAATACTAGACCCCAGTAGTTATATAAGAAGAGGCACATGCAATTCCCAGGTGGCTCATAAACAAACAATGCTCGGGACTTCCCTGGTGGTCCAATGGCTAAGACTCCGCACTCCAAATGCAGGGGGCCCGGGTTCAATCCCACATGCCGCACCTAAGAGTTCACATGCCACAACTAAAGACCCCGCGTACCGTGACTAAGACCCGGCGCAGCCAAGTAAATAAAGAAATACTAAAAAAAACAAAAAGCAATGCTCAACCCCAGGAGTTTAAAGAAATGAGGCTTACCCTGCAGTGAGAGCCCATTTTCCACTATCAAATTGGCAGAGAAAAAAATGGGAGTGCTTGGGCTTCCCTGGTGGCGCAGTGGTTGAGAGTCCGCCTGCCGATGCAGGGGACACGG